ATCTTAATTGTTTGAAGGAGTCTTCGTTTTTTATTTCTGGAAACTCATTGAGCCTTCTCAACCAAATATATTCAAAGAGCCTGCAGCCTATTTTTTCATATGTATGCATCTTAATTTGAATTTTTAATACAACGCCAGTATCTGATGCAGAGGGTGAACGATCCTTCAGTAAACTTGAATTGATAAAGAATTATTGTAGGGCCACTATGGGACAAGAACGTCTTCGGATCTCACGATGCTTTCAATGGAAAACAAGTTAGCTAAGATTCTGTCATATGATGATATAATATTTATTTATTTATTTATTTTGCCGTTGATAAATATTACAAAAAAGAAATTACAATAAAAGAAAATCCTGGCTGGAGCAAGAAGAAGACAGGTTGTCTTATCACCGAGCCCCGTCACACAAAAAATTTACATGCACAATAAATGATAAAAGACAAAAAGACAGTATAAATACAAAAACAAAAACAAATCAAAAACTTCAGCAAAAAATAATTTGTTGCTAACAATTTTCCAGCAGAATAATTTTAAATAAAATAAAAAAGTATGAAAGTTATAAAAACACACACAAAAAAAAAAAAAAAAAAAAAATTAAAAATTTAATAACAAATTTTGCAAGTAAAAAAGCAAGAAAAGAGTGTTTTATATAAGCCGTTTTTTCTTATTTGAATTTCTTAAGAATGTCTAATAATGCATTTATGTTGTATTTGTATTGCTTAGTTGTATTTTTTTAAAAACGTAGTGTTTGAAAATATTGCCGTAAAATGATTATAACAGAAATAAACCACAATTAAGAAAGTTCATTTTAAATTCATTTGCACTCATATATATACAAGATTGCATTTGATAAATTTTTTTATAAATAATGTAGCTTTAAAGGGGCTTTTTTTAAAACACCCGCCTAACCGGCGGGTGTTTAAAATTTTAAACACCCGCGGGTGTTTAAATTTTTAAACACCCGCCTAACCGGCGCGGAGTTAAAAAAAGCCCTTTTTAAATTTGAAAACGGAAAATCTTCGGGCTATGACGGACTTCCAGCTGAATTTTATAAAACTTTTTGGCACATTTTAGAAAAAAATTTTGAAGAGCTTGCTTACGAAATACTTTTCGTAGAAAAAAATACCAGCCACTCTATGAAAAAATCAATAATTTCACTAATTCCCAAGCAAGGAGATCTCACTTAATGTAAAAATTGGAGGCCCATATCCTTAATCGGCGCTGATTACAAAATAATCACAAAAGCGCTGGCCCTAAGATTTGCAAAAGTAATGGTGAAAATTATAGAACCAAATCAAACTTGCGGAATTCCAGGTAGAACAATTTTCTCAAATTTACACTCAGTCCGTGATCTAATAGATTACGCGGAATTTAAAAATCTACCTAGTTTCATTTTATCAATAGATCAAGAAAAGGCGTTTGACAAAGTCGATCGTGCATTTCTGCTGCAGATTCTCCAAAAATTCAACCTCGGAGAAAATTTTGTATCTTTTATTAACACCCTGTATTCAGATACTTCGGCATCTGTTCTGAATTGCGGTTTCTTGTCAGTCCCTTTTCTCACCGAAAGGGGAGTTAGACAAGGCGACCCCCTCTCTCTTTTGTTGTATATCTTTTTCGCCGAAGCTCTTGCTTTGGTGGTCAGAGCAGACAACAGAATTGAGGGGTTCCCTCTACCAGGAACACCGAAACCGCTTAAACTACAGCAGTACGCAGACGATTCGAACTTTTTTGCCAGGGACGTAAAATTAGTCCGTTTTTTTTTTGAAGCAGTAAAACTTTTTGAAAAAGCAATCAATGCCTCAAAAACCAAGGGTCTTGCTCTTGGGGGTTTTGATCCCAAAATGTACCCGGAATTGGACAACATAGAGTGGACTAATAACACTGGTTTTAAAATTTTAGGTGTTACTTTTTACACAAGACTGAGTAATACTACCAATTTCAACTGGCTAGTAACTCTAAAAAAAAATAGAGAAAAAACTCAAGTTTCTGGGACTACGTACTTTGTCATGTTGATAAATACGTTAGCATTGTCAAAAGTGTGGTTTTTGGCAAACGTGTTGCCCGTTCCCAAATGGGTAATAGAACGTTTGCACAGTGCTATTTTTGAAAATCTGTGGCAAAAGACCAATTTCAATCCGGTCAAAAGAGGGACGCTTTTCTTACCCGTCAAAAGCGGGGGTCTCGGAATTTTATCACCGAAGAAGCAAAGCCTTGCGCTCCGTTTCAAGACGCTCTTTCAACTGAAAGAATGTGGAGAGGATAACACCCACGATCATTACTACTTTTCAAAGTACTGGTTAGCAAGCTCACTTATTAAATTTAATAACCAAAACCCAAGCTGAAACTTTTTGAAACAGAACAATTTTCCAAAACACTGGGACAACAAAATGTCTCAGTACTACAAAACAACAATTGAATTATTAGGCAAAAAAGGGTCCCTTTTTAACATCCCTCTAAAATCAACAAAAAATTTTTATTTAGAAGTGGCAAAAAACAAAAAGACAGTCGTACCAGCAGAACTTTTCTGGAACGGTTCAACAAAAACAACAATGCCGTGGACCCAAATTTGGAAAAAGAACTTTACCTCCCACGCATGCGGACTAACTCAAAACATCCTCTTTCGATTTTTACACAACAGCTTACCTTCTGCGGCTTTGCTAGCCAAAAGTACAAGGCAACAGATTGTCAAAAAACAACAAATGTAAAACTTGTGGTAAAATCGAGGACAACCTTCACATCTTTGCCTACTGTCCTCCCTCTGTTGAAATTTGGTAATATTTTAAACATGTATTTTGGTAATATTTTAAACATGTAAACATCCTTGACATCCTAAAACATTTTTTCTCCGATAAATGCGATTTTCTTTATCGGGACCGCGAGTTTATCGGAAAAGAACCTTACATCGCAGCTGTGGACACTCACTCAAACCATCATGAGTGAGATATGGAACAGCAGATGTCACCACATGTTTAGTAACATAAAAATTGACCCATTGGCAGTAATCAGGGTAGTAATTAGGTAAATCAGGAATATTATTACATTAAAATATAATTATCATGTCCGCAGAAACACCACGGACACTTTCTGTCAACTTTTTTTTGTTAAAAATATAATATGCCAAGTAGAGAATGGGAACCTAAAACTAAACATATGAGCTAAGCTGATACACTAGCTCAATAAAAAGAACTATATGTTTAGTGATCTTTTCCATTTCTCTACAAATCATTACTTTTACAACAAAATATTGTTATTTATTATTAAACAATCACTGCCAGCCTTTATTTTATGAGTTATAACTTCCCTTTTTAAATGTTTTTCTGTAGCGTACGTAATGTGATGTTTGTGTAAAATTCTTGTAATTTTTTTTCTATTATTTTGTTATAAATTTCTTCCTTTAAATAAAAACTACTTGTAATTTTTTTTTTAAAACACCTTCCTCTTTAACTTTTTCAAACCTTCCGATTTCTCTCCGCACAATGGCACTATAATAAAAAAACAAAAAATACAAAAAAATACAAAATCAAAAAACACAAAAAATATAAAATACAAAAATACAAAAAATATAAAATACAAAAATACAAAAAATATAAAATTAAAAAAACCACAAAAAAGAAGAGGAAAAAAAAAAAAAAAAAAAAAAATAGAAAAATATATAAAACCATGGTAACTATTGTAACACCATTTTTTTTATTGTAACCATAGTGACAGCTTTTTGAAAAATTGTAAGCCTTTAAATTTATAAACCTATATATTGTAAAACTTTAATTTTTAACACGTTGAGTTAATGTAATTTTATAAAATTTTGTAAATAAATATTATTTTATATATATAAAAAAAAAAAAAAAGCTTCAAGGGGCGCATACTCAACGCTATGCCCCGGGCGCCATAAAAGTTCTCGGCGGCCCTGAACAAACAAGCTTTTTTTTTCATCAAAAATGTAACTCTGTCAATAGTCTCATTTTTAATGTTTCTTAACTTTTAAATGGTTAAAAAGTATAGGATGCCTAATACAGTAAATATTTCATATATATGTATATTTGTATATGTGTATATATATATATATATATATATATATATATATATATATATATATATATGTATAAATAATATATATATATATATATATATATATATATATATATATATATATATATATATATATATATATGTATAAATAATATATATATATATATATATATATATATATATATATATATATATATATATATATATATATATATATATATATATATATATATGTATAAATAATATATATATATATATATATATATATATATATATTTATATATATATATATATATATATATATATATATATATATATATATATATATATATATATATATATATATATATATATATATATATATATCACCTTGTCGCCCTAGTCACATTGGCGACAATGCGACGGCATAATTCGCATGGGCCTTGCGCCAGCCCTGGGTCAGAATCAATTAGAAACTAATTGGTTTTACATAAAATTGTTTTTCTTTCGAGTGTTAATAGAAACCAGGCTGTTTTGAAATCAACTATACTTTATACGATTCTTAATTAGCATGAAATTTTCTATCGAAATTAATCATAAAATGATAGGGGTAGCTAACTGAAACAGTGCCGGACCAAGGTTGTAAAGTGGGGGAGGGGGTACAATCGACAATTTCTAAAAAAAAGTCCTCTATTTCTTTAAATTTTTATACTTCAGTCTGTTTTCTAAAAAAAAGTCTTCAAAGCTAAAAAATCTGCTTACTGAAATGTGTCAAAATTTGAATATACAGTAGTTAGCTAATGCCGACTAACTAGCTACTGTATATTCAAATTTTGAATACACAGTAGTTATATAATTATATTGAATATACAGTAGTTATATTGAATATACAGTAGTTATATAACTATATTCTTTAAAAATCCGAAAAGTTAAAATACCCTTCTTAAGGATGGGGGGGGGGGTCACCCACCCATAAACTCACCCTTCACCCGTAATATCACCCGTACCCATCGTATAAGTTTATTTCTATTGTAAACAAATTAATCCTTTATATTTGGTGCAATGGGTACCAATTCTAAAAGATCTAGATATGATCGCCATGAATATTGGAGAACAATTGTCAATTTTTCTGAATGTTTTGTCTGGTAGTATTATTTAGCACTAGAGTGTTACGATTGAATATATCTGCTAGATAAGCTATTGTAAATGTACCTATTAATATGAAAATCAAAATTCAAAAAATTACAAAGTACCCAACTGTTACAAAAACATTAACAAACTAAATAGAACTCTTTGTATTGAATAATAAACTATGGTACGGCATAAGCAAATCCATTATAGAGAGTTCATTTTTAAGAATATTTTTAACTTGATTGTTTTTACTTTATTCAAAAAACAGTCATTTGCTTTATTATTTAATAACAGCAAAGTTAATTTTAACACTAGTAAGCAATTAACTTCAAATTACTAGAAAATAAAGAAACTAAAATGTTGTTGGAAAGTCAATTGAGCAATTTACTTTGGATTTTAGCAAAAAGACCCTACCTAATTGGGCAGAAGCAAATTTGAAATAAGAAAAGGCATAGGCATCATAAAATGCACTGTTTTTTATCTTTAAACTATTAATACACCTGCTAGTGGTATTTCAGCTGTTTATACTATACTTAATTGATGTCTAAAGTTGAAAAAATATTTAAATATTGAAGTGATCATCTGTGTCTTTAATCAATCTGTATATGCAAAGGTTTCAGAATAATATGCTTGGAATGTTCTATAATAATACAAAAGTTGTGTTATAGTGCTTAAAATGTTTGACATGATCATAATGTTGAAATAATTTGGAAAAGATTTAAAGATTCAAGATAATGTTATGTACTTATTCAAAGCAAAGTAATTGTGAAAGGTTCTGTAGAAGGGGTTTTGTCAGGTAAGATGCATAATTATGCAATAAATTGCAATACATTATGAAGCCTTATATAGATTATTTATGAATAAATTTAGAAGAAAAGTTAATCAAACCAAGAATCAAGTTTTTAATGATAATGTCCTTGACCAACTGTCTAAATTCAAATTAAGTATATACCAAAAATAAATTTGAAAATGAATGAATAAATGCAGTTTAAAGGGGTTTCATAAGATTAGTAAGTTTTAAAGATAATTTGCTCCAAATGGGTGCGCCACTAACAAACTATTGACTATCTTAATTTAGAACGGTTGATCTCCTGCTTAAAACATTGCTGCTAAATACATATGCTGATTATTTTATTTAAAAGTCTTTGCATGAATTTTTCAACAGGCCTCATTAAGTCCATCAACACAATAAGTTGACATTAAGTGGAATTAAAATGATTAAGATTGTGAAAAATGTTAAGTCATTGATGTCAGTTTTATAAGATACCTTTATACATCCATTTTCTAAAAACCCTTTATTCTATTTATGTAATGGTAGGGTGACCATTGTCCTGGTTTTTACATAGGAAATGGCATCGCTATAATAATTAAAATTAGTTGAGTGTTACGCTCTCCTATGTAAAAACCAGTATGGTATTGTTGCCTCAGATAAAATTGCTAATAATTTGTAAAATGCAAAAGGAAAAAAATAATTCTGCCATAAAAATATTTGAGAAAAATAGCAAAAACAGTAAAAAAAATGTTTTTACATATTTCTAACAAATTAATAATTTTAATATTTCTAACGTATAATTAGTTAACAAATTAAAAATAAAATAAATTTATATATATATATATATATATATATATATATATATATATATATATATATATATATATAAACATTTTGTCTCATTTTTGTCTTTGTTGACTTTATTAGTGTATATGTTTTTGTTTTTATTTAAAATAGTAAAATGTGGTTGTAGTTTACAAATTTTTGACACAAAGATGATGTCTTTGTGTTAGAGGGGGGAGGGGGGGGAGAGGGGAATGACACTATTCCCCTCTCCCCCCCCACCCACCCTCTTCTTCACTGCCTAATTATCTTAATATATTTCCCCCTTAATCTCTTACTCCCTACTTGCCTGTTTTGGTTTACAAGTTCAAAATTATGGTAAGCCTATGATGGTTCAGATGTTTATATATACAGACATGATGATGCAATTATGATTGCAGTATAAAAATTTCTCAATAAATTGAAAAAAGTTGTACAAAAAGAAACTTACACATTTGTTTCAAGTTTCTTCATATGTTTTGAGCATTCAGAGTAGGTTTCATAAAATTTGTAACTCACTTGCCTGATACTGATTTTTTTTACTAAATCTCTACTTAATAACAATTGCTTGCAATGAGGCTGAGGTGCACAACCTTAGCCTTGTTGAACAAGGCTTAATTTTTTTTTTGGAGCATCTTTATAACTAATAAAAAATGGTGCTATCTTCCATACAGAAATAGATATGAAGTAAGGGTTATATTATTGAAGAGGTTTAGAAAAGAACCACAGTATTTATCAGGAGATATCCATGTTAACAGACTCATTCTGCGTATTTTTAAACCATATAGTATCACATCTTGTATATGATATACAAGATGTGATACAGTGAGTACAATTTTTGGAAAAAATTACAGCTATAAAGATTATGAATACAGACAATAAGTACATTTAACTGTTTTATAAAAAAAAACAAAGAAACATTAATCTAGCTGAGAAAATTATTTCAGAGCTGAAAGCATTTACTTTTTTTTTAAATATTTACTTCCTCAAGGCCTCTCTTAACACTATAACTCTGAAACACAAACCTCAATGAATAAGGCCGCTGCGTGGAGAAACAAGTTGAGTGGGGTACTACCAGGGATGTGGTGAGATCAAATTCTTGTCATTTGTATGGTACTAAATGTAAAGATAAAATGATACAAACCCTTTTTAATACAGTTTGTATCTGCTTCTGTTATGTTATTGTGATATTTATGTATAGATATACGTTTTGTATTATACTATATATAATTTATGTATTTTGTTATTTTGTTATAGACTGGCATAATTATAGCTCTTTTGAGCCAACTTAATTAATTTTGTTATTCTTTACAATCAAAACAGCTAAAATATTATTATGTAATAAAAGAAAGATGGATCAATTCATGAAACCTAATAGACTTGGTATAAATCCGAACTCACCAGATGCATACAACAAAAACATACAACCATTGGTTAAGAACATTTTACAATTTTATAAGTGCAGTTGATGATAACTCCATTAGGCTTAATCTTCTAATAAACCATATTAAGTCTAATGTCTATGAATTCATATCAGAGCTTGACGATTTTGAACAAGCAACAAGTATTCTCAAGTCTATCTAAGTAAAACCAAAGAATGAAATATTTGCCAGATACATATTTGTCAACACGAAAGCAAAAACTGAGTGAATCAATAGATCAATTCCTAAATGAAATTAAAAATTTATCTAAGGACTGTAAATTCACTGCTGTAAGTGCTGAGCAATATAAATATGAAATGATTTGCCATGTGTTCATAAATGGTTTACTCTCCAACATTATATGCCAATGTTTACTACAAAACAAGGCATTAGACCATTCATCAGCCTTAAACCAAGCTAGATCTTTAGATGTGGCCCAACAAAATTCAAACTTATACTCACAGTCGACTATACCTACCTCTGCCTCTATTCAGGAAATCAAATCATCTTTACAAAAACAATCCACAACTGATAATCACTTAGCTGCTACAGTAAAATAAAAACAATTGTGCTGGTTTTATGGAAACATAAGACATCCACGTCCTAAATGTCCTGCTTGTGAAGCTATCTGTCACAAATGTAAAAAGCTTGGTCATTTTGAAAAACTTTGCAGATCATCTAATGTTTCTGCTGCTATTCCTAAAATTGACAATGATTACTACTGTGCCACTATATCAGCTTCAGCAAATTCTCTCTTCAGAGTCAGCCTTAACATCATTATTAATGATAAGTAAAAAGCAGAAGCTTTAATTGATAGTGGGAGTACAAACAAAAGTTTCATTAACAATAAACTAGAGAGTAAATCAGAGTGTAATCGGAATGGCATCAGCTTCTTTATCAGTAAAATCAGATGGATATTGTTATGTTTCAATAACTCTTCAAAACAAAATCTATAACAAAGTCAAGTTGCATGTGCTAGATAACTTATGTATAGATATTATTCTTGGTACAGATTTTCAAGAGTTGGATGAGAGTATTACCATTGTGTGGTTTACCTGGTGTGACTCGCCTCTATAATTTTATTCGATCAAGAAACCTCCCTTATTCAGTAGAAGAAATATAACACAAATATGTAGAGATTGTAGAATATGTAAAAAAATAAAACCAAAGTACTATCGCCCAAATGATGTGCCTCTAATTAAAGCAACTCAGCAATTCGAACGTATATCTATTGACTTTAAAGGTCCATTACCTTCTTCAATCCCTGAACAATATATGCTAATAATTGTAGACGAATACTTGCATTTTCCTTTTGCTTATCCTGTAAAAGATATGACAACTCAGACAATAATAAACTGTTTAGCTGATCTTTTTTCCTTGTTTGGTATGCCTAGCTATGTTCATTCTGATTGTTAATATCTTCTAAATTAAAGCACTGGTTCTTATCAAAAGAGATTGCTACTAGCAGAACAACCTCTTTCAACCCGATTTGAAATGAGCAAGTTGAAAGATACAATGGAATTATTTGCAAGTCGATATTACTCACTCTGAAATCTTGAAATCTGCCTATATCATCATGGAAAAGAGTTCTACCTGATGCACTTCATACTACAAGATCTCTATTATGTACCTCTACTAATTGTAGTCCGCATGAACGTCTTTTCAATTTTCAAAGAAGATCATCATCTGGGTCCTCAATTCCTTCATGGCTTGTTAACCCAGGACCTGTACTTATAAAAAGAAATGCAATAAAAAGTAAATATGAAGATTCAGTAAATAAGGTTCAGCTCATTAAAGCAAGTCCTCATTATGCTTATGTGAGATTTCCCAGTGGTCATGAGACTACAGTGTCTACTAAACAGCTGGCTCCCATGGTCACATCTCCTATAATACAAACATCAAACAACAATTTAGAAGTAACAACCATTGATAGCTATCCCTCAACCCATAATGGTAGCAATGAAACTCCTTTAATCTTCCAAAAGGAACTAGAAAAAAAAAAAATAAATAAAATAATATTCTTCCTCATAGATCTTCACAAAGTTCTAAAGCACCAAAAAAAATATACTTATAAATTTACCTGAACACTTTTAGGAGGAGGGTGAATGTTATGTTATTGTGATATTATTATTTATACATATATGTTTTGTACTATACTATATATACTTTATGTATTTTTTTATTTTGTTATAGACTAGTATAATCATAGCTCTTTTGAACCAACATAATTAATTTGATTATTCTTTAAAGTTTTGATGCAAACTGTACTGCTCAAAAAAAGGAAAGATTGTAATAAACTTTCGCTTTGTAAAGTAAGCTTATACCAACACATTTTAAAAATTAACTATAAATATGAAGATCAGCTATTACTAATTACCCTGTAATTCAATATCCAAAAGGACAATCAACTTATTTATGCTGATAAAATCAATGTCAACTGGATGAACTGCAATTCTGTCCCAAACAAAATTCCAAGCATACTTTATTGTTATCATTTTTGTATTACTGAATAAAATATTTGATTTTATAAAAAGAAAAATCATTGATTGCTTTTTAGATCATGTAATTGTTTGCACTTTCATTTACAGTTGATATTTGCAATTTCAACTGTAAATGAAAGTGCAAACAGTTAATTGTAATAATACATACATGCTTGCAATCTTATAGATTGTGAAAATAGAGCTGTAAATAGTGATGATTATATAATTTTGATAGACTCATTAGATTTTGAGATAAATCACTAATTATACATAGAGAATGTATAATATTCGACAAGCAGTTTAAAATTAAATTTGTTAAAATTGACTAAATATATGAATGGATTCAAGTTGTCCACTTTACAGAAAGGTTACATACCAATTTTTTGGTAAATAAAATTTTTTTGACTATTACTATTTTTAGGCATAATATTTTAACCCTTGATTAAAACGTAAAACTTGAACCTAGGCTAAATTATATTATTAGACCAGTTTCAAGTTTTTAAAAATAGATTTTAATTTTTTTAAATGTAAAGTTTAAAAAAAGTGAGTGATTTTGGTTTCTTTATATAATAATGGGTTTTAGAAAACCTTACATGGTTCAAAAAAATTCTCAAAATGTGCCTAACACAATGACCTATAACAATTTTTATATTTATTATCTAAGAGTCTTATATTATAAAACTATTCAATTTAAAGATATTTCTAAAGTTTTAAGATACTCCTAAACTTCAAATTATCGTCAATTATTTTTTTTTAGCTATTTAGTATATTAAAAAAAAAAGCTTTCCTTGTGTACCTATATCACAAAACATTCATAAATTAATTTTTTTTAGTATTTCTTCTTGGTGGATACACATCAATAATTAGACGTGTGATGATTGAAGCCAAAGCTCTTAATATGATCAGCCAGGGATATGTTTTCATATCATATGAACTTTTGCTTGACGGATGCTCAAACAACTACCCAACATTAGTGGATATAAATCCGGATGTTTGTCAAGCTCTTGATGGTTTATTAGATATAAGTCTATATGTTCCAAATGATGATAATTATAAAAATTTCTCTCAACTTGTGCGAATGGAGATTATGAATCCACCATTTAGTAGAAGAATGTTACCAAGTGAACAGGTACTTTTTATATGTAAAACTTTTACAATGCAATTGTTTTGATATCATAAAGCCTAAATAGTTAATTAACTTTAACTTTAGTAAATTAAATATTCAATTACATTAATTAATATTTTAATTACTTAAATATTATAGTTAAATCAATAAACAAAAACAATTCTTAAACAATATATATAAATTAATAATATATAAAGTGTAATTTAATAGTATATAAAATGTAAATCATAAACAGTTAACGTATACAAATTAAAACCAATTAAAATCATTAAGAAAAAATATTTTAATTTTTCAATAGTTTTTACTTGGCATTTCAAATTTGTAGTTGGACCAACCATTTTTGCGCTAGTTGGTCGAAGTGAAAAAATAACAACAGTTAAGAAAACAATTTGCTAGTGCACAGTGTTGAATTTATAGTTTAGCCTATTGTATTTTTTATTTAGTTAATCAGTATTAGATTTGCAAAAATTGCATTTTGTATTAATTAACATAGCTGCTGTAAGCACTAAATTTCCTTTTTAATCTTATACTTTATTTTGATTGTAGCCGGTTTTGTAGAGTAAAAAATTTGAGCTAAACATATTTTAGTGCAATTATTATTGTTTTTGGAGTCTGTCTGGTTGGACTAGGTAGGACAAACATAGTACTTTATGGCGTGGGGTTTTGGAAGAACCGAGAGTTTTTCAGTTATAGGCAGTTTGAAAATTAAAATTGATTCAGTGTGCAACCAGTGGTATGATTAGAAAGTGCTCCAGTTTTTATCAAATGTTCTGGTTAGTAACCTTTTTACTGCAAATCTTGCTGGAACTCTCAAAAGCAATCTATCTACTGGATGTAAAACACAAGGGAACTTTAGGCAAAAGCCAAAAGCTTAAGCTTAAGCTCATCCATCTGTAAATGAACTCTCTAATGGTGAATATATAATTTTTATACCTATGTAGAATATAACTACTATACCTATGGAGAATATAGCTACTATACCTATGGAGAATATAGCTACTATACCTATGGAGAATATAGCTACTTTACATATGGAGAATATAGCTACTATACCTATGGAGAATATAGCTACTGCAGGAGAAGTGTTAAAGTAGTATATTAGGATAAAGATTACTCAGAGAGTAATGCAAGAATTTGTGAAGAAAAATGTTAAAAGTATTTGGATACAAGTATTTAATGGACTAAAAATCACAAGAGAATAAAGCAATTTAAAAAAAAATGTAATCAGTTGTTGCTAAAAAAGTTCGCTTTATTGACTATTTAGTTTGGGTTCAAAATTGGTAAATTTTTTAAGTGAAACTTTTTTTGCTTTCTTAACTATAAGTTATAGCTATTTTTAGTAAGAAGTACTAAGGCAGACTAAAAGTAGTTCAAATAAATGATAAACTAGTGAAACATGAGTAATGTCAATATTGGCCAAATGAGCAGCCAATTATATGCAGATGCCAGTATATGACTAACTATAACTCTTTCTGGACTCAACTATATTAAATAGGTTAGACCAACACTAGGAAACTAAATTGCGCTGCTTATGTAACCATTTTTTTATATTGGTAGAAGTATGTATATAAAAATATGAAAATCATATAAGTTTGGTGTACTACTTTGTTCCTATGTATATAAACTTAAAAAAAGTTGTTTAAAAAAAAGATTTAGCAAGTTTAGATTATAATATATATATGGTTATATAGTATATATATTATATATATATGGTTATAATATATATATGGTTATATATATTATGGTTATAATAGCAAGAAGCTTCAAGGAACACATGAATGAATCCCAAATAAACTCTAGCTTTAAATTTCTGTATTTATGGTGTCCAGAAGCTCTAAAATGTTGGGTGGCTTTGCCTCTTTACATTTTTAACTCTTTTGTTTTTTTTAATTATTCACCTCCCCAAGGCCGAAAAGACCACTACAGGCAAGGAGGCTACTTTTGTGGTGGCGATTAAACTCGGAACTTCTTGCTTATGAGGCAAGCGCTCTACCACTACACCACTACCGTATATAGAGCTCCTGGATACTAAAAAGAAAAAAGTTTTTTTTTGTGACTTTCAAATCTGGAAAACATTTTGAGACTTCACATCCCTGCCAATACATCCTCAATTACCATTAAAATAATGGTTCTCAAAAAAAGCTTTAGCAGCTCTCATTTTGCAATTTTTGAATTTTTTTTTTACTTTTTATATTAGTTCACTCTTAGATTTATAACTTGAATAGAAAAATTTGTTTTAATAATTAGGTAGAAATATATGCTGCACTCCTCTATGATGCAGCTCTTCTGTATGCACGTGCATTAAACAAAACAATCAGTATGAACCAATCTATTGATGATGGTAGAGCAATCGTTAATAATATGTTGAATACAAGATTCAAAGGTATTATCTAAGACGTAAACATTTTTTTGTAATTTTTGTAATTTTTTTGTTATGACCTTTATATCTTATTTAATTAACTTGATTCGCAAATAGTTTAGTAGTAAATCATTGGTGAAAAATTTAATTTACTGGTAAAGTAATTAGCTTGAGTTTTTTTCTCGGCAACAATTAATATTTTTTGTTTATTAATAACTTTTTAAAAGTAAGTTATCATTATTTCCGAAGCTGCAATTTCAAGAAATAATGAAAAAAACAAACATATTTTAGTTCATTTATACAAATGTTGAGTAAAGAAAGAAACTAATTTATGTTTAATGATAATAAAAAAAGTAAATTTAGTTATAAAAAAAAAAAAAAAATGAAACAAAATTGACATTACACCATATGTACATATACAAGATTTGTTTTTCTTAATCAGTAAAATAAACTTGTTGTGCAGTAATTTATTTTATTGCAGTAGTTTAAAAAAGCTAATGTTCTTAAAGAATAAAAAAAATAAAGATAATTTAATGATGTCAAAATCACAAAGAGCTTTTTATTTAAAACAAGGCCTGAACTTGCTATATTTTAGCAGCCATATTGGCATCCATATATTTTATGCTATATCTTAGCAGCCATATTGGCACTTATATATATGTAAGTTAATTAATGTATTCTACAAATAGAGTGAATAATATTCTCAAAGAACAGAGCAAAAATAAATTAGTAAAAATGCTTATCTAAATATCTTCTACTGTCTGTTTCTCCTTCAGGAGGTTTATCAGTAAGCCTGATGAATAATGGAGGATTAAACCACGTTGATTTTGCAACTTTTATAGAGTCGTTGGCAACGTTTTCTTTAATTCCACTAGACTTAAGAGCACTATTATAAAAAGTAGCGGCTTGATTAAAAACTATATTAATTGAGGATATACTTCTTATACGGTTAGATATTGTTGAGGGAATAGCTTTAAGAATGTTTGGAGGATGGTTTGAATTAACATTGATATATAATGGGATGTCACCTGCTTACCTATATGGCTGATAAGAATTGTCAGACAAGTTGAGCAAAATGCCAATAAAAAGAAAAAAAAACTAAAAAAAAAAACAAACTCAAACCTGCCAGATAAAGGTAGCTATTATATTGGGCTTACGGAAAAAAACTTTTAAAGATTGCTTTTACAAGCATAAAAATTCATTCGTAATGAAAGTGCGTCAAACTCTACCGAACTTTCTAAATTTGTGTGAAATGTTAAAAAGAAAAGTAAACTTATGCTTGATGGAAAAATACCATATAATTTCATCCCCATTGCCTTTACTAAATAAGCGAAACAAACTTGCGTCTAAGTGTCACCATGAAAATAAATACATGATGAATAACTTTAATCGCATCAAAGAAGACACTCGACAGTATTTTTAATGTTTTTTTTTGTCATTATTTTTAAGATTTGTAACATCTGATAATCACTATATGCGTGAAACTCCAAGTACTGTTTTAAATAAATGGAGCGTTATAATTATTTAGTTTTTACTATATATATATATATATATATATATATATATATATATATATATATATATATATATATATATATATATATATATATATACATATATATATATATAGGCCTTGTTTTAAATAAAAAATACTTAATGCATTAGTTTAACGCAATATTCTCATAAAATTCTCTTTATTTTTGTATTTTTTAAAGTCATTAACTTTTTTAAATTACTGCAATAATATTAATTACCTCAAAACAAGTTAAATGTTATTTAACAGCTTTTTTATTATTACTATAAAGGAATGTTTAATTTTTTTTATTTTTTTTAATAATAAATAATTAAATGTAAAATTGCGTTTTTAAAAATGTTTCATATTTACAAATTTCTTTCTTTTCTTGACATTTACATAAATGATCTAAAATATGTGAAAATTTTGAGTTTTGAAAATGATTATTTCCTATATTTCTAATTGCGGCTTTGCAACTGCAAATGATTTATTATTTAAAAAGAATTAGTGAGTAACAAATAAAAAAAATTATGTTAATTTATTTACTTTATTTATTTAAAGTTTATTAGTTTATTATTTTATTATAAAAATTACATCGTTGAAGATATTGTTCATTAAAAAATAATTACTGCGATTTAACTTGCGTTATAAAAAAAAGTTTAATTATGTTTTGTGCAAACTGTTAGCTGCTTATTTAAAATTTAATTTTGAGTAAAAAAAAATGTTTAGGAAGTAAAACTGAAAAAACAATTGCGATAAAAGTAAGCTGATTTTTTTTAAGAACAAATAAAATTTAAAAATTGAACAATATTTTGTAATATTTTTAAATAAATTTGACAGTCAAGTTAAACCCAAGAATTAACTTTAATTTTAATAAACTTAAATATATTTTTAAAATCGAAATTAAATTATATATTTTTTAAATCTAAATTAAATTATATATATATGTTTTTTATCAAATTAAGATTATATATTTTTATTAAATTAGTTTTGAATTAAATCATAAATTTTTTATATGATTTAATTCATTATCAAAATTAAATTATGTTTTTTAAGCTTGAAGCAAAGATCATTTTTGCTTCAAGCTTAAAATATCAATCATTACAATAAAATAAAAACAAAATAAAAATAAAATAAAATGCCTTATTTGTCCTTGTATAAAGTAATTTTTTAGAGACACTGTCCACGGCAGTTTGCATCTTTAAAGCATTTTTAATAATTCGCAACAAAAAGCTAAACTTATCTATTGAGAAAAAAAAAAAACAATCTTAAAAAAAGGAAACATTATTGTAACAAAGTTTTAATTAAATAAACTAGAAAAATTTAATCATTAAAAAATGAAAATTAAAAAAAAAGCTTTTTATAAAATTTTTATGCAACTTGTATTCTTTTTTTTAGGAGTGGTTGTCGTTTATAGCTACCAAGTTTGATACAATTTGATGAAAAAAAATATATTATCTTTTATGAAAATTCAACTGCAATTGAAAGTTTTGATATGCAATTTATTCATGATTTTTATCAGTCGCTATAATTAAGAAACTAATTTGCTATGTACCCTAGAACTATGAGAAATTTTGTTAAATTTTTTTCCTATTATATTATATCCTTTTTTGATATTGCCCAATATTATATGAATTTCTAGATATAATGAACACAACAATTGCTCTGTTAAAATGCATTTAAAAAATTAAAAAAATAGTTTTAAATTGATCTCCTGAAAATTTGTTTAAATTATTCGGTTTCAAATTAACAATGCTAGCCTAGTAAATTAACTAGCCCGCAAGCTTTTGGAGCATTGTCAATAACAATAGTTCATCAGGAAACAAACTATGAAGTTTAAATGCATAATTTAAATAATCCAACAAAAAGTGCAGACTATTTCAATGGGGGTATTGAAAACAACCAAATATTGTATAATTAAATATTAGTATTAATGGCTTTTTATTTTTTTACATGAAAAACTTGTTAAAATTTTTTTTTTTTACAAATAAATAGCAATTAATTTTCTCGGTTTCCTATGCATTGATAAAAACAGTAAAATTTAGCAAAAACATTTGAAAAACAAATTTAAAAAATGTCCATATTTCTAGCGCAAATTATAAAGTACTTCCTTAATATACTGACTGAATTTTTGTCTGCTTTTTTCCTTGACTTGTATCAATTTTGGTAGTTGAAAATAACAAACGCCCTAAAAGAAAAGAAAACAGAAATAGTAAAATATTAAGGTATATTATTTTTTTAACAAAATTTTACTTTTTTTAATTTTCAATTTTTTTTTAGTTTATTTTATTTAGATTTCATATTTTGTATAGTGTTCATTTCCTTTCTTTTAGAATTGCTGTTTTATTTTTTGTAGTTTCTTATTGCTTTATTTTAACTTTTTGTAACAGGAAGCAAAGAATGGCTTGCTGGCCTAAAATCCTTCAAATTTTGCAGGCTTTAAATAAATATATATACATGTATATATATATATATATATATATATATATATATATATATATATATATATATATATATATATATATATATATATATATATATATATATATATATATATAATCATAATAATAATATAAATATATAATAATATATATATATAATAATATATATATATATATATATATATATATATATATATATATATATATATATATACATATATATATACATATATATATACATATATGTATATATATATATATATATATATATATATATATATATATATATATATATATAATAATATAAATATATAATTATATATATAATAATATATATATAATAATATATATATATATATATATATATATACATATATATATACATATATGTATATATATATATATATATATATATATATATATATGTATATATATATATATATATATATATTATATATATATATATGTATATATATATATATATATATATATATATATATATATATATATATATATATATACATATATATACATATATGTATATATATATATATATATATATATATATATACATATATATATGTATATATATATATATATATATATATATATATATATATATATATATATATATATATATATATATATATATATATATATATATATATATATATATATATATATATATGTATATATATATATATATATATATATATATATATATATTATATATATATATATATATATATATATATATTAGTGATGTACCGATATCCCTTTTTTTGGCCGATGCTGATACCGATGCCGATGAATGGCAAAAGGTCGATACTGATGCCGATACCGATGAATTTACTAATTATTAAAAATTTGAAAAGATAAAACCATACAACTTTAAATTGGTATTGGTAAACAAATACTTGGACTAAAATCAAAGCCAAACAATTGTTTTTAAAAGATATTAGAAAAACTCAGTTAAAAAAATATACATTTTTATTTATTTTTTACTATGAAAAGAAAGCTTTTAAAAAAATAAATACAATTTTAGAGGAACATTTTTTATTTTAATTTTA